CAACATGACAGGTCTAGTAAAACTCAAGGTTATGCACATTAGTGTGCCACAAAATAAAATTCATTCTATGTTCTATGTGAATTTGGGGCAATCTGTTGTGTTCGTGGGCCACATCCATGGAAAGTAAAGGGAAAAATTGTTGCATACTTTGTGATCTTCGGAGTGATATTTGATTAAAATGTGAGCCAATTTGAAATAATTATCCCACGTATTTGTCATAAGGTCAGTTTATTTATCCACTTATTAACAGGTAATCATGTACAATAGTGTCTGTCTTGTTTCCTTGGAAAAGATGTAACATAGAAAACAAAGACAAATCTACAGAGCAAGTCTGACATCTGCTTTAATATAATTTTTCAGATTCTGTCACATGTGAGCGATGCCACCCTGAGTCCTGGTCCAATGAGAGAAGAGATGCCTGTGTAAAAAAGAAGGCAGAGTTTCTATCATATGAAGAAATTATGGGAGCACTGCTCACTGCAGCGGCCTTATTTGGAACATGCATGACTGCTGTTGTGGCAGCCATTTTCTTCACATACAGGACAACTCCTATTGTTAGGGCCAACAACTCTGAGCTGAGCTTCCTGCTGCTCTTCTCCTTGACCCTGTGTTTCCTGTGTTCTCTGACCTTCATCGGCCGGCCCTCTGAGTGGTCCTGCATGCTGCGACACACAGCATTCGGCATCACCTTTGTCCTCTGTATCTCTTGTGTTCTGGGGAAAACTATAGTGGTGTTAATGGCCTTCAGGGCTACACTTCCAGGCAGTAATGTGATGAAATGGTTTGGGCCTGCACAGCAGAGACTCAGTGTTGTGGCTTTCACTCTCATCCAGGTTGTTATATGTATCCTCTGGTTAACTATTTCTCCTCCTTTTCCATTTAAGAATTTTACCCAGTTCAAGGACAAAATCATCTTAGAGTGTGCTCTGGGATCAGCTGTAGGCTTTTGGGCTGTACTTGGGTACATAGGCCTTCTGGCCATCTTATGTTTTATTCTGGCTTTTCTTGCTCGGAAACTGCCTGATAACTTCAATGAGGCCAAACTGATCACCTTCAGCATGCTGATATTCTGTGCAGTCTGGATCACTTTTATTCCAGCATATGTCAGCTCTCCTGGGAAGTTCAGTGTTGCTGTAGAGATATTTGCTATTCTGGCCTCCAGTTTTGGACTGCTCATTTGTACTTTTATTCCAAAATGTTATATTATCTTACTGAAACCAGAGAAAAATACAAAAAGGAATATGATGGAGAAAGGGGCATCAAAATCATTCTGAAAACTTAGGCAAAGGCATTGTACTGTCATTATAAATTTTACACATTAATTTGTTAACCAGATGATTATGTAGAAACCAATATTCATTTTAGTGAAGAGGTATATTGTACTCTTCTATGACATTTTTCTACTGGATGTCATGTCATGTCAAAGACATAGCATAAGAAGTTGTCAGTATAGAAACAAACAAAAAACTTTGGTTTACAAAATATGGTGGTAAGGCATTCTAGTGCCATTAATTAATTTGTTAACCAGACTGGTATGTAGAAACCAATATACTTTTAATTGAAGGGGTGTATTGTACCCCATCAAAAAGAATATTCTGGTTGAAATTCATAATTCTGTATTATTGTGAGTGCTTGAAGATCCAATCATCAGTAAAGTGTTGTCCTGCTAAATGGAATGTCTTAAATTGTGATTTTAATATTTAAGGTGTGGTGACTGATTCACAACATTGTGTCAAACAATGTGCATTCCAGTGTGCAACGGGCACCTGCAAGTGTTTGTGTGTTTTGTTCAAATATAGTATGACGACGTGGATGGCTCATAGCGAAACATTTTAGGCTCGACTACAGACTCCATTTACAAAAGACAAGTGACAGAAGGAAACTCAGATAATCCAGACTGTCAATCTAGCACATAATCTCCATCAGGGGCCATGGAGACAAACATCAGATGAGACAATCAGCAGCAGAAACAGACTTTACATTAAACTTAAGTTTTACTGGTATTAAATTCGACTGTTTTACCTGTGAGGGATCAGCTGTAGGTCTATATGACACAAGCAGGGCACAGGATGGCCAAGCTTTGACACATGCTGACCAGTCTTGAGCCCCACACACAGCTGATTCGTACACTGTTGCTGGTTGACATGTACGCAAACAGGAGGAGCTCAGTGAACAATCATTACACTTTGGAGTTGGTTTAACACTGGAGCGGAGAACATCTGTTTTCTTATAGATTTTATGATGCCTCTAATGACTTGTCATGTCAAATATTGGGGGGAGGACAAACGTTAGTTTTTCATATTCTGGGGGAAACCTGTCCCCCATAAAAATTATGCCCCAGTTATGGCTATAACATTCACCCTGTGACAAATGGCTACTTATTCACACTGTTATTCTGAAGGCATTTAAAGTGTCACTCTCTGCCATGATAAATGGCCACTTTTAGCACGACTGTTCATCATTTGTCCCACAGCATGTCATGCATTACAGTATAATGTCTGTAGGTGGCGCTCAACCTACAATAACAGGTACAACACACCGTGCATAAACAAATCATAGCCTATTGGTTGCTATATGAATGTCTACTTAGAAGTAAAGGAAAAGGGCTATGGTCAGGTTTCGCTTTAAATCTTAATTATACCATCTATGGATTGTGAAGTTAGTTTAATATTTTGTAGATTTTTGTTTGGACAAATGAGCCAACCATCTCTCCTATAAAAACTACTCCTAAGTATGCAACTAAACTACAAACATAAATAAGTCTTTGAAGGTGTAAGATTTGAGTCTTGTAGACTCTAGTTACTATATAAGCCTTAGTTACTTCTCATACCTTTAGTTCTCTTTAGTTACCTTTCATAACTTTATCTTACTTGATTATACATATTACAGCTGTATTGATGATTGTCCAGAATTACTGAGCTTTGGTTATGGTTATTTTAATGCATTTGTTTCCCTTGCTTATATATTTTACAGCTATAATGAAGCAGAATCTGCTTACTTTGAATGCTGTAACTTCTGTGTAGAGACTAAATCAAATCAAATCAAATCAAATTTTATTTGTATAGCGCCAAATCACAACAAAAGTCATCTCAAGACACTTTACAAAGTAAGGTCTAGACCTTACTGTTATCAATATTAATAATAAGCTCTGTCTCTCTGA